TGGGGGGGGGAGGGGGGGAAGGTTAATCGGAAAGGCACCACAAGCAAGGACAACGACGGCCACGCGGGCGAATGCATCGTGTCAGTTTTTCTAGGTCGATAGAAGGGGAATTCAGGGATAGATGCTTATCGTGCGAAGAACCCCCAAGGGTGCACGCAAGAACAGTTCTTCAGTACGTTGGTGTGCCGTAAGAGTCGGAGTGATGGCACCGGGGTACGAAAACAAAACAAGAGGAACAGCATGATTTTCATTGTACTTCCCCACCAACATTGAGCTTTTTCTGAGCTGCCGTAAGCAGCTACATGTGCCCCCCTTTTGCATGTGGTGACGGTGTCAGCGGAGCGCCACCTTCATGTATGCATATACGGCCGGCGCAGTTCACGCGGAAATGCCTGTTGCTTTCATTCAGTCCGTATGGTAGGTGCAAGCCGTACACCATCCAAGTACACAACGTGCAAGCCATGACCTACCCCCACCTTAGGCGAGTAAATCTAATGGGCTGCTTCTTGCGTTCTAGTATTCGTAGAGCAAGACCGAAACGAAAGCGGGAGACAACCTGATACTGCTGTACCGTATCTACGGGTATCGCAGATGGAAACCACATGGTTTGTTGTCCTTGTTAAGCAACAACCAACTCGATTTCAAGCCCATGACCACTCGCTGCATAGAAAGCTTCTACGTACCCAGCCTGCGTTCTTAGTGCGGTACGCCGCACATTCGTTTGCTTGTGAATATCTGCCCTGGTACCAATACTTCAGAGGCGGAGAGACAGCACCGGTCGGGGAGATGGCACCGGGGTGTATGCAGTGTGCAAAGAACACCGTCGGAGCACTACAATAATTGTAGTGCTACAATAGTTGAGCCGCTGTGTGAAAATTCACTGGGCATCGCACCGGTCGGAGAGATTGCACCGGGGTGCCTCGAAGAAGCTAGATGGCATGATTAATTTTCATTTCGGCAACGGGATCGGAGAGATGGCACCGGCCGGAGAGATCGCGCCGGGGTGCAACAAAAACCACCAAGAAACCCGCAGATGCCATCTCTCCGACTCACATTTTTTTTTCTTGGAGAATTTCGGAGCGGAGGGAGGGTACTGTATCTACACGTACCCTGAACAACTCTTGTGTGTGGAAAGCGTAAAATCTTAGAGGGCCCATTGCGTCCGGGTACAGCATGTATGCGCGAGGAACGACCTGTCAGATCTACATCAAGAGCACATGTAACACGCTCTGTGTAACACGCTTTGCTCTACCTAGATGGGTGTGCGGGATAACTTTTCACGAAGTTCTCCACTTCATTTTTCTTCTCGGAGTCCGGACAGGTCGACAAGGGATGGATGCACGAGCGATGTTTGGAGGCTTTGAGAACATAGGAGCCGAATACAAGCTGATGTGATTTTTCGGCAACCGTTCCAGTCGGTGTTCCGAGCAGACGGGATCAGTCGCACCTGGAGTACACCTACGGGTAGTTTCTTCTAAATTGAGGTATCTTACGTACCGTGCACTACGCTGCTGTTGACGAAACCAGATGAAACACATGCACAAGCTCTCGTTGTGTACAGTACCTTGCGTTGCTCGGGTGTGTGCGACACCTACCTCTCCTCTGCCCCGCCTCAAACTCCCCAATCACCCATCCTCACAATCACACAGACACCCAAACAGACCTCTCTTGGTTGCACAAGTGCTAATTACTCGAGGCCCCAACTACAACGCTCGCGCACTACAGCCGCGGTATGATTCCGTCCTGTTGAAAGCTCATGAATATAGAGCAAAACGTGATTCACCTTGGCGCCGAGGTACTCCTCCTCCGGGGCAAACATCAGGAAGGTAGAGACGTCCTCGCTCAGGACGCTCACTTCTACAGAGCTTCCTTCCGCATCCACCTGGCGCGGAAGGGAAGATTAAGGTTTGCAAGGAAGCAAGGAAGACAAAAGCTTTACTTGTAGCGGCGTCGGAACTCGGAACGTATTCGAAAGGCCTGTTGAGGAGTTTGTTCTAAAAAAAAAAAATAGTGCGCCACTCACTTCGTACACACACCACACGCAGTCGTTGTACATCACATGTGCACAACGGGGCAGTTCAAATGCCAGAGACAGAGCTAAATAGCCGCCCCAAAGGCGAGACTCTATGGGCTGGGGTAGAGGTACATTTCCAGCACAATCCATGCCTACCTGTCTGTCATGCAACAACTCACCTTGACTTGAATACCAGCCTCGTTCAAGGTGGTGTTGAGTTCATCCTCGTCCACGACCAGCAGAGACACCTCGTCGTCTGAATCATCGTCCATGTCGGGGTCCATTCCAACGTTGCCCTTTCCGTCTTCCATTCTACCGCAGTCAGTGCGCCGCGCACTGCAACAGCTGTGGTGTGTTGTGTTGCCGCTGCCTCGGAAATTAAGGGGTCCAACAAACTCAAACTCTGGCTCCGGTGTATGCCTATGTTGTATGTTGCCCTAAGATATCTGCGTGGCCCCATAATGTGTCCTCTGCTGCCTTGCTCGACCACAGGGCAGAGCCAAGGGTAGCACCGCCACGACCCACGGCAGTGTAGTGAGCAGTGCAGTGTGATAGCCGTGCTGTTCTGTGCCATACTCTGTAAACACAGCGCCTGCTGATTGTGCACGATCAATAGTGAAGGAGAAGACTCTTGTGAAACCTTCGCCTGCGTCTACTATACGTACTCGCAGAGAGGCATCTTTACCAACCACAGCAGTCTGGCTGTACTACAGCAGCAGTACCCAAACTACTGCTGTGCCACGACTGCGCACAGCAGCACCACCGACAACTGAAGACCACCACCAACATCTCACTCATCAGTGGCTCAAGCGCCCCGCTCAATGACGCCTCTGGACCCAGAGGTAGCGCCTTCGGAGGCGGCAGCGGGAGACCGAACCTCGGAAACACCTCCTTCACCCAAACGCGCCCCGCCGGTCACGACATGCAGCTTCTGCTCGGAGCGGTTCCCCACGAGGAGTGCGATGTTCCGCCACCTCGAGAGGCCCTGCGCGACCTGCCCGGCCCCTCGCGAAGACTACGGCGAAAAGGTCCTCCTCGTCGTAGGGTACGACTCCCGTCTCATGGCGGGCGACAAAGGAGGCGAGGGAGCGGTAACACCTCCAACATCGGACACGTATAACATGCCGACGCCGCCGGTAGGCACGAGTAGTGGGACTGCTGCTGCTGTGGGTGGAGCAAGCGCGGCAAGCTCTGTGCTGAAGGCCATGGGCATCGAGGTGGAGAGGCGGAGGGATGCAGGCGGCGAGGGCGGAGGTAGCTCCCAGCAGCAGTCCTACTGTAGTCGACCGGGGGGCTTCAGTCAAGCCTCGTCGGTGGGTTCCCGCACGTGCCCTCTGCTTGCGCAGGAGGAGGAGGTCAGCGCTACGTGAGTTTGGACCTGATTCGATTGTTAAATCGGGGAGGGGGGGGAGTGCGCCTGCTGCTCAGCGAAGGACTTGATGGTAGTAGAAATTGCAGCAGTCGTGGGCGTTGTTGTGCTACGTTGCGGCGGGAGGAACCCGAAGGAAGAACGCCTTGATACTGCTGTCTGATGGTGCCCAGGTGGAATACACCTGTACTACTGGCACACGTATACACGGATCGAGTAGACATCACCGCCGAAAGCAGCCCAGCCGATACGTTTAAGTTCTACTTGTATGGGGTACGCAGCTGTTCGAACATACGATAAATTTCTAGTAAATAGTAGTACGTAGTTCCGGAACACCTGGAACGAGAGACGTGGCGTGCCCCCCCCCCCACACACACATGCCTCGGAGCCTCTGATGCTACAAACAACCAACAACAACAGCAGTTTCCGTTGACACACCAAGCCGCCAACTTATTCTCTACCCCCCCGCCAACGACCCCCGTCCCTGAACCACCGCTACCAGAGCTGATACCATCTGCCTCAGAGCACCGACGACGGTACCCCAGGAGGGTATACGAAAGTGGCTCGATGACACCAACGCTGCCCTCGACAACAGCGACGGGAACGCGAGGGAAGCGATTCGGCTCCTCGGGCGGATGGCTGTGCCTTCGACGTTCCACGCTGAGGTATGTCCTACTTGGCAGCCGTTCTCTCTTTGTCGTAAATTATATTGCAACGTGTGAGGAATCCATTTGTTTTGCGGCTGTCGCGCAACACTTGAGGGATACCCTTCCTTCTGTCGTGCCGGCTTCGTCTGTGTAACCGTGTAGACGACGCAGGAAGCATGACGTGGAAGAATATGACTGGTCGGTGTCCAATGAGCGTAAGCAAGAGGATAGAGCAAAGCGGGGGGGGGCGCTGATATGTCGCGATGTCTGGAATCAAGCCTTGTTATTGACCACACCGCTTCTGACGTGCATATTCTGCGCAATCACGCTTCAGTTTGCAGCCAGCACTGCTGTCGAAACGAAGTACCAACACTTTGCTCACGCGCATGTCGAACCCTTAACAGATCCACGCAAAGAGACGGCGGTACGAGTACCTCCTGCCGGCCTGGATGCTCGACGAGACGGCGGAGGGCCCTTGGGAAGGGCCACCCCGGGGACAGGAGAACCTCATCCCCTTGCTGAGACGCCTACGAGCGCGGGGGCTCAGGCCCTTCGGACACTGCAACGGCGAACACGACGGCACGCGGCGGCGGTGTCCCCTTTGGCACAACTTCAGCGCGAGCGCGCTGCCCCACAGCCCGTCCTCCCTGCGCCGCCTTTTCCGCTTCTACGCGATGGAGGTCATCCAGTCATCACCATCATCATCGCAAGGGGGCGACGCAGGCGCGAGCGGCGCGGACTACGTCTGCCTCTCTATCAACGGCGACGCGTTTATGAGCCAGCAGGTGAGGGTGTGTCGACCTCCGTCACGAACCGAGGAAAGAACCCTGAAAGTGTGCGCCAGGGTTTCAGCAAAATATTCATGCAACCACTGAAAAGACTACAGTACCCGTTCGATATAGTTCCATGGTCTTGTTGATACAGCAACGAATCAAACAAGTCACATTTGCGGCCAGAATATAAGCAAAACGATGATGACGCATCAGCCCTTGCCGCCACCGCTATTTTGCCCGCAGGTTAGGGGCATGGTAGCCCTCGCCGTGGCCGGGGCGAGGGGCCTCATCTCAGCCGAGGGCATCGCGGCCACGATCGACCCGACGCGGCAGGAAGACCTCCTGCCGGTCCCCCTGGCCCCCGCCGCCCCGTGCTCGCTCGCCGAGGTTGGTTACTCGGGCTGGCAGATGAGGCTCGGCGTCGGAGGGCAAGGCGTCTGCATGTCGCCGGGCGCGGAGCAGCGGGGCTGCCGCCCCTTGGAGGGGTGGAGCGACGAGGCTTCGAGGTCTGAGGGCGCCAGGTTTCGGCGCCAGGTCCTCGACAGCGCGGCGAGGTGGTGGGAGGAGCGGGATGGCGGGGTTGGCTGGCTGAAGGACGTTCTCCAGCCGGGCGCCGTCAAGCTTGGGCGGGAAGTCCAGGTCTCCGACATGCGAGCAGGGGACCTGGAGGGGGATAGAAGTAATGAAGGCAGGGGGGAGGAGGACGGTTGTGGAGGGAGGAGCGGCTCGAGAGACGAGTCGCGCAGGGGCGCAGGCGCGGACGGGGCGCCGTTGTCCGCCGAGGATCTCTCGTCGCTTGAGGAGGCGCCCGTGCTCTACGCCAAGGTTTTGGGCCTGCTGAGAGAAGCCAGCGCCTCGGGGCAGTGGCCCACGAGCACGGCATCGCGAAGCTTGGTCATCTTCGGGGAGAGGGGCGACAGAGCAGACGAGATGTGCTCCGGTACTGGGCGCAGCAAGCAGACTGATTTGGCGGGCTGCGCAAAAGGCCGTGATTCCGACAAAACGGCACTAGCAGAGGAAGCACCACCGGCGATGGCGAGAACCGTTGGCGAGGAGAACGCCTCCGCGGCAACGGAACCCGACGGGCAACAAGAGCAGGAAGATCGGCAACGCGGCGGCGGCGGCGACGGCGGCGGGTCCGGGTCATTCACCCTCGGCGCCTTCCCGCCGCCCTGCCCACCCCCGCGCGGCAACCGCCTATTCGCGGAGCTTGCGAGAGCGGCGTTCGAGCTAGAGGCGGCCTTGCTTCCCGAACGACCCCCGTCAACCACTATCGCCGTCAACAGGAATGCCAGGTTCAAGCCACACGTGGACAGCGGGAGCGGGGCCGGTCAGAGCAGGAGCCTGATCGTCGGGCTAGGCGACTACGTTCGCGGGGAGCTGGTGGTGGAAGGGGAGGAGGCGGACATTCGGTACCGCCCCCTGGAGTTCAACGGGTGGACGCAAAGGCACTGGACGAGGCCGTTCTCCGGCGAGAGATACTCGCTGGTTTGGTTCACGCCGAAGGGCTGCGAGGGGATATCCGGCGACGCGAGGTTTTCGTCGGCCGCAGATGATGATGATGCCGGGGGTGGGGAAGGAAGGAGTGGTGACGAGGGAGGCGAAGTTAGCCCAAGTCGATGATGCGCTATGTTGGCTTCATCGGGCCTTTTTAGAGTTACGTTCGGAGCTCAGTGTTGTTCTCTTCCGCCTGAAGTGTATATATGGCCTCTTGGGTGTGTGTAGTGCAGAGTGGCTTCGTCCGATAACGGGCAACTTGTTGAGAACAGCCCAGTTTGTTTCGGCGTGTGCTGGGCAGGCGAACAAAAAAGCGTTTGGTGGAAGTTTTGAAGAACGAACTGTTTGATGGCGGAGGTAAATAGCTGCAACAGAGGGAAGACCGTGCTTCCCCTCGAAGCGACAATCTACCGGGGTAGCCACAAGCCGGCGGTTTGAAGAACGAAAATGACTCTTCTACATGGGTTGACGTTGGCACATCAGCACTACGCAATGCACTCGGCTCTGCGAGAAGGTTCACCAGGCGTAAGTTTCTCTCTGGTAGCACAGTGCATGTACACACACAACTGGCGTGATCTCGTCATGTATGTGCCAAAAATAGCAAAGAGAGAGGCGCAAGAGATCCCACACGGGCGATCCATGTATCATTGCTGGAAGAGCCGAAAAAAGTAAGGCCACGGCAAGACGATCGTAGCAAACATGACGCATGCATGCCGAAATTGAGTCGTATCATCACGAACAACACCTACCTACGGATTGAGCTGTTCTGAACTACGGTTACAACATCAACGGGCCCCTCGCGGACGGATGTCTGCTCCTAGAGCTCGAAAAGTGATAATAGGGCCGCCGACAAAATGTAAACAAACCTTTCCACTCCCGGAAGAAATGCAAAAGCTTAAGCTTAGCCGCACCATCACGACATCTCCTAGACTACATATTGAGACAACTACCAAATGATAACAAGTCATTACAACAGAAGCAGACAAATAGTCTAGCAACCCCAAAAACAAAACTGCTCCAGACAACATGAGTCACCCCGCCCACCTCGCCGTGGAGGACCCCAATCGAAAAATAAACACTTAGGGGGAAACACAAGCGTGACTAAGAGGTCGTTTATCTGTGAAAAATGTTTCACTCCCGCTCCGCTCTGTTCCAGGAATACATCACAGGTATACCACCGCAATCGCTGCGATAGACAAAATGCATCCTGCGGCGCCTCCGACCCCCCCCCCCCCCGCCAAAGCTAGGCACTTCAATCTCGTGTGGGAATGGCTGCTTGTCTGTATTGGTAACGGGGAAACACTGGTAAAACAACCATCCCCAGAAGGGGGCGATCCTTCACACCGGTATCCAGAGCGAGGTCTGTAACGCAATCTCCCGACCCGACGTGAACACTTAACACGACGTGGGTTGCTCCCGCATACCAACGGAGGGAGCAGACACACATGCCGCTCGATTCTCGAAAAAAGTAACACCGAAATAAACTGATAAAAAAAAATAGGCCGCTCTCTCTCGCTTCTCTCTCTATTCTCCGTTGTTCCTTCCGGGCTGTCTCTTTCTCATCCGGCAAAGCTTTCATCACCACTTTGTCCTACCACAAAAAGGTATTTCAACGTTAAATATTCTCCCAGTTTCGCATCCTAATCCGTAAAAAAATGGAACTTGATGCACGCAAACACACACACACTGCCACACTACATTGAGATCGCATTACACAAGCCCTGTTCTTAATTCAAGGTCGTGGCCGTGTATTGAACCCTTCGTCGCCGTTCCTGCCGGGGTATTTACCTGGTTGTTCCCAGACAAGCGACAACAACAACCCACGTCATCACCAACAACACCAACAACACCTAGAGGCCGGTCACCGAGTTCTCTCTTCTAAGTGCCCTTCTTCACTGGCTGGCTGGCTCGCTCACAAGCGCAGCAAAAGACGATTTACACTGCCTGTGTGTAGGTAGGCACAAAAAATACCGACTACACACTTAGAATACCTCGACGTCAACCGTAACCCCCCCAAAACCTCCGCTCACAAGGTACATACACTAAACTAGGCGAGCTTTGCGGGCGCCAAACTGGCTGTGTGCCCAAAACAAAATACATGCATTTTGGAGACAGACGCCCCCACAAGGTTTTCTTCCGGACTCCTGGGCCCAAGGATGTTTGGTTCTGACTAGCACCCAGGGGAGGCCGGGGGGGGGGGGGGTAGGAAGGGGGGAGCCAAGCGGCTGGCTGGCCAAAGACGAAAAAAAAGCTCCAGTCTTCCGTTTGTCAATGCTATGCTTCTACAGTAGTTACCAGCATACCAACACCTCTCCAGCATATGCTTCCTTTAACGCCTTGTACCCCTCATCCTCCCCACATCGGCGTTGCCCCCCTCCCTTGCTGCGAAATCCTGCTCCTTTCCCCCCCGACAGCGTACCAAAATACGTTCAACTCTTACATCTGGGACACCTTGACGCTACCCCCCCTCTCCCCGTGCAGTCGTCCCGTCCCTCAGCCGAGGAAGGAGCCCGTTTTTTACGCCCCGGCCTCCTGAACCGGCTTGCTGCCCTCCTTCCCATTTTCACCGGCGGTGGTGGAAGAGTAGTGGGTGAGCTTCCCCTGGAGCCGGCCGCCGTCTAACACCTGCAGGCTGTCGTACACCATGTCCCCTGTGACTACGGCCGCCTTGCCGATGAGCAGCGTCTTGGAAGCGATGATGGTCGCCTTCATGTTGCCTCCGATGCACCCGTCCGAGCATCGCACCTCCCCCTCCATTTGTCCGCCTGTGCGAGCAGCAACATGCAGCAAGAAGGGCAACATGCCACGGGGGACAGCAGTGAGTTGTTGGCGGAGAAAGGGGAAACACTGTTATTTAGAGGAAGGAGATGACACACCCACCCGACGGCTGGCGGCTTCGAGCGATGGATACGATGGGAGACCGCACGGTTGGGAAATGGCCTGGCTAGGCAAAACTCGTTCGGTTGGTGCGCGGCGGAGAGGCTGTTTCTTCACTCGATCCCGAGAGTGCTGCCGCCTGCCATCAAGCAAGCCGAGAGGGAGCACCCCCCCGCGGCCGCTTCAGCTGTCTCTCTCATCATGTGAGCCATTGGAAGCAAGCGCTTTCAATTCCCTCCAAAAGTATGGACGAAACAGCGTTGTTCGAGATTCATCGTTCATCGCGTGGGGTGAAGGGCGTACCGAATAGCAAATAATATGCATACAGCAGTTCATGTTCAACGTCAAAATGGCGGATACCTTGGGCATCGGGCTCTCTCCTACCACGGAAAACATAAAGCTGGGAATCCGTTGGGGCCAGGCCCGGTAGTTCGATAGACGTGTCAGGATCGAGTCCAGGAGATGCTCTCCAGAACCCGAATCAAACCATTAGATAGACTATTCAGCGGCTTGTGTGCTGGAGTACCGTAATTGCGCGTGTTATGGCACCGGGGTGCGATCGTTTTATAAATCATTCGTATCTTGGTTTTTTATCGCACCCCGGTGCGCCCCCCCCGGTGTTTGCCATCGGGATTGGGTTTTCGTCGCTTGGCAACGACGTTGTAGAACAAGCCAACTCACTTCGTGAACTTGGCAACCAGGTTACCTTTTGTTTTTCTACCTCTGGTGTTTTTTTCTTGCGGTAACCATAATGGTGGTCATGTAGATCATGTTGTGCGGGGTCGAGAACCCTCACTCCGCGCAAGGGGGATGATCGCACCACGTTTTGTTAAAATGGTCAAGCATCCTCGAGGCAGTTACACGGTGCTTATAACTGTCTCTGGAAGTTAGAGCGCCAGAAAATAAATTAAGTCATACGCAGCTGTCCTCCGTACGCAAGGAAGTGAGGACAAGATGCCGAACACCCTTAGCAGGATGCAGCTCACCCTTCATCACGCGACTCGCCGAATACCTCACGGTGCTTCGCGCTTGGTGATGTGCAAGCCTGGTCCGGTGAGAACCCGGCGTGCTCCGTCCCGGCTTTGTAGGGATGCGAGGTCAATGGTCTAACGACTACGGCATGCACGACTATGAGTTCACCCCCCTCCCGGTGCCATAACATCGATACCGGTGCGGAAATACAATTAAATAATTTCGTTCTGGATTTCCAGGGCACCCTTGGTGCGATGACACCGATGGGTGCGATACGGAAGAAATCACACTGTGGCGATTTTGGGGCTGAGTGAACGCACCCCCCGGTGCGATGACACCGATAGGTGCGATACTCAAGAAACGAACACAGGCGTTTCCTGGTGCGAGTACAATACTGCAATTGTGCGTGTTACGGTACTTGGGGTAGCATATTGCCAAAGACAACAGACGCTGTGGTTCCCTGCTGGGAAAGGTATACGGTACGGTAGTTCTGTTTTTCTTCCAACCGGTCGCAAGCCCCTCATTTGTTGGCTGGTGCTTCCATCTGTACTTGTCTGGCTCAAGGGGCATGGTACCAGTCCAGTTGAAGTAGCGTTTACCAACTCCTTCTTGTTCGGTTGGTTGGAGGTGCGGGGTGTGTTCTGTGTGCTTAGTTGAGTGAGTGATGGTGAGTGCATTCGATATACGGATTACCGTAGAAAAAAACATCAATCATTTCTACCGCACCTCGACGGTACGATTTACACACATGAAGGGAATGGCGCCCCAGCCGTTCGTTACATACAGCTTGACACGTGGCCCGGAGAGTTCCGGAACCTTGCGGAAGCACGAAAATTTACGTCCTAAGCAGGTTTAAGTAATATATCGTCGATATCGTACCGGGTGCGTTAACACCGATACCAGTGCGCGGAAATGCCATTAAACCATGCCCTTGTCGATATTTTTGCGCACCCCGGTGCCATAAGACCGATGGGTGCGAATCAACGATGGGTGCCATAACACGCACAATTACGGTAGCTCCCAGGACCACCAAGCTATCGTCTCCGGAGTACAATATTGTTCTCATATTTTTTTGTCAGTACCTCTCGTTGGCGTCGCTATGTACGATCACGGAATCTTGTTTACTTTGTCTGGGGAGCGAAGAAGAGGTCGGCAGCGTGGCGGCCAGCATGTCAATGTGACATCGTCGGCAACACGACCAGTGGCATCGTCCGGCGACTTCAATACTTCCTTTCTCGGGGGGGTCTACTTGGCGAACTCAGGGCGAGAGTGCAAGCGAGAGAGAGAGAGAGAGAGAAAGAGAGACAGAGAGCCAACGCACCGCCTCCTAAAAAACACACGCGAACGCGCATGGTTGTGCCCGCATGGAGCGGGGAAGGCGGATCGCACATGACATGGTTGCCAAGTACACTGCTGCTTGATGCAGTGATACCTACCGTAGGCGACACGAGATGACATACCCCCCGGACCGACGTTCAAAGCTCGAGTACTCCACAACGAAGAGGATGCCAACATGAAATGATATATGTTTTTAGGAATGCTCTCGACGACACGGTTCAGGGCGTGCGGTATCTTTTGTCATCTACGGTATATATGGTAAATAACCCTAACCATACACATACGTGTGGTAGAACGCCTGCGTGTCGCGTGTCGAGAGAAATCGATTTAGTTGCTGCGATTTGAGCGGAAACATAAATATTGTTTGTTGTGGCCCCACCCATGACCCCATGCTTCTATGCTTCTATGTACAGAGTGCTTGGCGCATTTTTTTTTTTCTTGGCGCTATGGATACAGCAGTGAAGATATCATTCGACGAAAAAAAAAATCAGATTACAATGAGAGCGCGGGTCGATGGCGGTGAAACGAGAGACGACACTTGCTCAAGAATCTTGATCTTGATCCCCCCGCCTAGCGGTTCCCCGCGGTGTGATCAATCTGCTATCAACTCAGCGAAGTAAGGTTCTCCCAGACAGAGAAAAGACATCCCCCCCCGACACATCCGATCCGTCATCAAGGAGATGGACGTGTTGATGTGTTGGTCTACGATTGACTGCAGAACGCGTGCCGCAGAGGGAATGCTCTCGGTCGGGAATTAATCGAAAATGTTGTTGCGCTCAAAAGCCAGCAGTTTCGCCAGCGGAGCGAAAAACAACACTCTTACAATAATGCAGAGGTAAATTAGGTCGACGGCAAAACTTCCGGCAAAAAAAAGATAATACAAACAAAATACCTTCCTGCTATTACATCATCTACTCCTCTGTCGCCCACACGTATGTAATAATACGTGTTTTGCTGATGATTTCCTCCAACAGCAGGGGGGACACATGCATCCGTTCATCCCAGAGGTGTCTGCATGAAGGCTTTTTTTCTTTTTTTCTGCCCTCGGGTGCCTGAGATTATTTTCCAGCAGGAATTCCGACTCAACTCGTGCCGCGTTTCTTACAAAGGCTTGCTATTATTTACAGAAGGGAGCTTTCTCTGTCATGATTCGGAGGAAAACTACTGTACAGCCAGCAGTAGCTTCTGGTCGGTCTCATTCGCAGAAAAGTACGGTCGAGCGCTTGCAATGAATGGCAGTAGCGCAAGAGCGTGTCTTGCGCTGGTGGCACAGAGTAGTGGTCGGAACAAGGCGGAACTCGATGCCGGCGGCAACATGAGACCAAACACCGCGCCACACCCACCTCCACAAAACATAATGAAATAGCGAACCGCAGTCAGTACCGCAAACCGAGGGCATCTCTAGGCAAGCGCACCGCCGCCGAACAAGCCGCTTGGGCGTGTAAGTACTCGGTGAGGAGCAAATCGGCGAAGCTCATCGTCACATTGTAACCCGAAAAAGGGAGCGCATGTTTACGTGTCGGAACATGGTGTGGCTATTTTCCACCTGCTGCCGTGGGTCCACACAACACACACCTACCTTCCGAGAGCACGAACGTCCCGGTCTTGATGTTGCCCTGGAAGTTGCCCTCAACGACGACCTTGTCGCAAGAGGTCACGTTGGCGGTAAGGACGACCCCTTTGCCGACCACCAGCACTCGCTCCTCGTGCTTCGCGGCCAACACGTCTTCCTTGTCCGGCATCTTCTCCTCCTGCGGCGTGGAGGCGGCGATGACAGGCTCGGCCTCTGCTGCTGGCTCCTCCTCCTCCAACTCTGCTGGCTCCGGGAGCGTTCCGAGCCGGTTTGGCGTGCCTGCTCGCTCCGACCCGCTCTGAATCTCGGGAGTAACGGACTCGGGAGTGATGCCACCTAGGCTGCGGGTGTCCTTTGTCGAGCTGTAAGGAGGGGGGGACGGGCGACGGAGAGGTTGTAGAGGCAGCGAGGCAGCGAGCCAGCATGTCGATCGAGTGTACGCATATTTTGTCAATAACCCCTTGCTGAAAACGGTTCTTGCCGTTCAACTTGCAAACAACGCCGCCGCCAACCATTACCTGTGCCGAGAAGATGATTTCCTCGAAAAGGACCTGCGCTTGCTCTGCAACATGTTTGCGGTGTATTCTGTGTCCGTCTGCAGTGCTTCGCGAGGGAGGGAGCGGCGTGTGGATTGTCGACCTTTTGGGCGGGTTTTGATATTATTTTATTTTGGTGCAAGCAGATTCCGCCGCAACCGGCCCCCTCCCCCTGCTCCCCTGCTCACTGCTCACCCATGCCCACCGGACCAAACAACAATCGAGGGCGTTCGTGGCCACACAACACGGACACACGCACATACGGGCCTCGGCACGCGTCATACCTTGTCCGCCGTTGAGGTGGTCTTCGAGTGCAGCAAATGGAAACCGGTTTCTTGGCTGAGGGCTGAGGTTTGTGTGTGCGCGAAAACGTACGTGTGCTACCCTCTCTCAGCCGTTTCTGAATCTATTGCGTATCTATCGAGATGCTTTGTTTGTTTTGTTTTTGTTTTTGTTTGTTTTTCTTCACATTAAACTCGTGTCAGTTGCCAATCCCAAAATCTAGCAAAGACTCGGCCCGTGGTCACAAAAATGCTAAAGCCGTCAGAAGATCTAAAGAACACGCACACTATTAGCAAGAAAAGGGTACACAAGCCCGAGGAGGTACACCTACAATCCCTGCAGCACGTTTGCGTGCTCACAACTGAACTACACGCCCACACACTACAATTCGACTACAGCAGGCGGCATCACCCCCCTTGTCCCGCACTTCACCAAAATGGATGTTGGTCGACTACAGCGTACTGCTGTCTGAAGTGCTGTCTGTACAAAATAACACCATGGTGTATGGTGCACAACAAGCTCGGGGCATTGCATGCAGCTGCTGTCTGAAGTGCTGTCAGAATGGTCCCGTGGACATACAATCAATGAAGAAGAACAACCAACCAAAGCCATCATTGCAATTGACAATCGCCCGAATCTATCCAGTTCATCTGTGTTAGACACAGCAGTGTAAACATCGGCACTGACTAGGAATCGTTCCACATTGAAGGGGTCTTCCACGATGCAGGTACACAATTAAGGCACCCGGGTTATCCGCGCCATCTCTGCCGTGTCTCTCTACAAAACCAGTGACGTCATTACACACACCTAACACCTATATTCAGGAAAAAAAACGGAAAATAATTGACAACACAAGAGATGTTTGTCCGTGCGACACGGTTCGATGCCGTCCGCATGCTCCGGTTCCGCTGCTGCTCCGGTGCCGCTGCTCCGGTGCCGCTTCTCCGGTGTCGCTGTGGCCAGTCCTATCACGACCAAATTCGACCCGCTCCGCTTCGTACACGCTCTCGTTGCTGTCCTTCCCAGTCGGTTCCTCGCTTTCTCCCTCGTTGCACTTAGGGTTCTTGGTCTGAAAATTCTCGCGCCGAAGGGTCAACCAGCCCAGTCAGCTCGTCACCACCTGTCCCCTCCTCATTTGATGGCAAAACCAGGTTACTGAGACAGTACAGCTCCCTCTAGCAAGCATAGGGCCGTGTACATAGTGTCCGTCCACCTTTCTGATGGCGTCTGCCTCCGCGCACAAAGATGAGATGGGCATTGCTGCCTGCACCGTCGAGGCCCGCGCATCTGCACCTTTGTACCTGACGCACCAGTGCCGACCCAACTCCACCACTACGCACGCCTTGCGGCGGGTGCGCCGTAGCAAGAAGGTATCGGTCCCTTGAGGGTGAGTCTAGCCCTGCTCGCTAGAAAGACCCCCCCCCTCGCTTTGGGTCATGCCTAAGCAAAACCTTGCCGAGGCAGCGAGGGGAAGAAGGGAGACATACTTGATGAGCGGCGGGACCTCAATAACTCGGTCGTGGTCCTCACCTCTCTCAAAGATGTAGATGACATGTTTACATACGCAGAGACAAATACAACAGCAGTCCAACGCCTTTCCCTTTCCTTTGCTATTTGTCTGGGCACAAGGGAAGCAAACTCCTCTCCCTTCCTACATAGGTAGCGTATACGGCGTACGGCAGCTACGTAAGATGTGAGGATCAGTAACTCCTGGCTGTGACTTCAAGACAGCAGATGAGCAAGATTTATTATCTGCCGAGGAAACTTTCAAGTTCCCTCTTATCTTGCCCTTGACCCGGGTCAACCCATCACACCTCTGATGAAAAACCTTAGCTCTCAGTCACGCCTATCAACAGTGTGTACGTGGGTGCTGTACATATGCACATAGGACACCATGTGCAAAAAAAGGTTGTGTTGTTGTAAATGCAAATGCACTTGAGGTCCATCGTTACGCACCAACCATCCTCCATCATCATATGGATGACAACACGAGACACCTGACGCGAATCTCTTGGAGGACTTGTCTGAGGCAAGCTGCGTTGCCCATTGTAAACGTGCCTTGGGTTCATCGACTTGAAAATGGAGGAAGAACGTCCGGACGGATGGTCAACATGCGTCGCCGTCGTCCGTTTGACAACATGTTTTTGTAGTTGGGAATAGGGCGCCGTATCCTATGATCACTGAAAGTGGATCTAATCTCGGACCCCACGAAGCAGCTCGCGAAAAATTTATGGTGCAAACATTAACATCTGCCATTAGAAGCACAAACAATGACGGGCAAGGCACAAACGACGTACAGAGCACATTGTACGTGGAACACAACGCAGCTATGATGTACCGACAACAAAACACCTCACTCACTCAAAACCGGAGAGAGCAACGGATACCTAGTGCTCGACTGCATCATCAAGCAAGCGTAACGAATGGCTCGGGAGCATCCCCCACAACTAATGGCTCGGGAGCATCCCCCACAACTAATGGCACACTCGCACAGCCTGTGGGCCTTTATTCTTGCTCAAGAAGACAAGCAAGTTCATGTGCCTCCCCCTCCCTGCAATAACAATCTGTTGTACGCACACCGAAACACGAAGCAGAGCCCTTTGCCTCCACTCCTGCCCAACCTGTACGCGACCTCAGGACGACACAAACATCGCAACACTGCCAGAGTTGAACATGTTAGACGACCACTAACCCAAGCCCTCCTGTTCATCGTCATCGTCCAACGGCACGACTTCAAATACTCTTGGACACATGATGACACCACACGAGTCTCCGAATCGTCGCATACGACACTACCCATCTACCTATCCCTGTCGACCTCCAACTTGTAGACTCCCAAAACGACCATGCGCAGGCTTCCAATGAAGCGAGACAAGACAAAACAGAGCCTCGCTCCCTTCCCTGCTCTCCCCGCAGGGAGCTCTGCTGGGTCTGCATGCATGCCCGTTTCACATACTCAGGCCTTCGCCGAAGTCCATCTCTAGCCCGGAACCCTTCATTTGCTCCCGGTAGAGGCGATCAAACGCCTCCGACTCTCGCACTTTGAACACGTCGCGCCAGCCCCCGGCTCCCCCCTTTCGCAGGTGGTTGACTTCCTTCTGCGTGTTGGCCTTGGCGCTGCTCTTCATCGCGGAGATCGTGGACGCGGCAACCGTCTGTTGCGGGTGGCGGGGGTGGAAAAGAACAACAAAAAAAGCCAGAAAAAGGGCCACAAGGTAGGAAAGCAACACGGTGGGAGTGGGGACTGGAGGGCGGCAAGAGAAGCAAGGGCGCTGGTCAAGCGAAAGATTAGACCTGAAACAACTACGAGGCAAAAAAAACAAGCATTTCTGTTGGACAACACAAACGAAGAGGACACGAAAAAACGAAAATCGACGACGGGTGGAAGTGAAAAGAAGGATGGTTTGGAGTAATGGGATGCTTATGTGTCACGAGCTGAACAACGGCAGTGTAGGATGAAATCGGAGGGAACCAAAGAGGACAAAATCGGATGAACGCGAAGAGCAAGCAACGTTCGGAGAGAAACAACAAACCGTGACAAGAGAAAGACAGGAACGGGCCGGTCTGAACGATGCGATAGAAGATGCGAAATTCTGGGCTGGAATTTTCGACCAGGGATTTTCCCCAAAATCCAGAAAGGAAACAGGAGTAGACGCCCGTGGTTCGGATACGGAGGGAGAGAGAGGCTGCCCGGCATGCCTCACGTGGCAAGGCGGGCGATACACAACTCACTACACTTTGGAGTTTGAGGTGCGCTTGGAGAAAGGGGTAACTCTGAAAAAAACTTCGAGAAATTACAAAACAGAGGAGGAAACGATGCGATTGCAAGGAGGGTACTCGTCTGCAACAACACCAGTAAGAAAAAAGCTGATTTCATGGGGCCATCCGGAACTGCCGGCCCATGAAGCACAAAAAGAGACGCGCAGAAGGCGCCCCAACGTTAGCCATGCCGCCGTGTTGGTGGTACTCAACGGCAGTGCTCTCTTTATGTCTGTCTTGGAAGGGACGGGTAGTCTGTGGCCAAAAACATTCTTGAGGAAGGGATGGGTGGTCGGTGGTCAATACATACTTGAGAGCAAAACGACCGCCCCCTTCCTACCCCTCCCTTGCACACCTTTTCGATGATTTCCGGGGTCGTTTCGATGCCCACGAAGTCGGCGATCTTCTTGACGTAGGTCGGCGGGTCGGCAAGGATGTCCTCGTAACGGAGGAAGATAACGTGCTCCGGGTCGGCCTTGGATGCCTCGTACCACTCCAGCACGTGGTCGAACCACGATCCGTTCTCGCATCTTTTCGGCCGGGTCAGTCAGTCGGGTGGGAAGGGAGTCGTTGGTCGGACGGATGGTTGGGTTTGTTGGGAAAAGGCGTGTGCCGCGAAAGGCAAGAAAACTCACGCTTGAGCTGGCGGTAGAGAACTCTACAAGCAGTCCCCTTCCTGAATGTACCGTGGAGTGCGTCTCGCACGAAGCTCGCCTCTTCGTAACCAAGTCTACGCGGAAGGTGCTGTCCCCCGCGTTGAAACACCTCGTTCTTGACGAGCACGGTTGACAGGCTGGGTCAACATGGCTGCGAAAGCGTTAACTCCCCCGCTGGTGAAGAGGACGCCACTTATTGCCGAGTGCCTCCTGCGAGCCTCAACTGCAACACTTCATTCACAAAAACATGTTTGTTTGGCATGAATCCCGCCGCCGCCGCCGCTGCTGCTGCTGCTGCTGCTGCTGCTGCTTAGCGGGCGTGGCTTCACGGTACTCGTCTGCTGGCGATCTCACCTGCCCTCCGCGAAGAAGGTGAGCATGTCGCTCAAATCCCCCGTGTACTGGAACATGGGCTTGTTGGTGGCGTGGTGCTTAAGGGAGACGCAAACGTCCTTAGGGTTGCGACAAACGTAGATCACCTTAGGCGGCATGATAGATACAACCAGGGCGAAGAAAGGGGGGACACAGGGGAGTCGAGGCGTTGAAACCACACAAAGGTAAGAAAACATGGAAGCAAAAAGGAGACAAGAATAGACCTTCGGGTGCCTTTTACGACGCTTTATCTATCTTGTTTGACATGACAGTCGGCTACTGCGCTGAATATCCAAAAGTCGTATGCAACAGCAGCAGCGCGGCAGCAGCAGCTGTGCGTCAGCCGCAAACACAGCCAGACTTCGCCAACGACGCACAATTGTTCGTGAACTTCATAAATCGAACATCTCGCCAAGAACTAGCTTTATTCCACTCTGCATTGCACAACAAACCTCTGTTGGGGAAAATAGTGCCGACTAAAATTGACTAAAATTCTTCAAGGGCTTCGCTTCTTGGTCGCTGCTCGAGCTACATGTCGGCTTGCAACCCTTGCCCCAAATCGAGTGACTCAAGTGAGATACTCGAGTAGTAACACGTACGAAAAGCTATGCACCCAAACTCATACAGCGTGTTTAGCCGTCTGACGGTCGAAACTGTACCAGCCCACAATTCGCGGCACCGGCCAGGAATACAAAACCAAACGCCCTCATATTCGATGCACACTCAGTTGGTCTGGTGGTGCAGGTTGGTACAATTACCTACCTTCACGCCTGGCGCCTTCCCGCAGGGCAAATCCTTGAGGTTAGCGTGCGTCTTAAAGAAGCGCTTGTCGGAGTTGGCCACGATCTTGTCCAAGGTCCAGTTCGTCGCCTGCAGGTTGGGGGTGCATGTGCCAAGATCAACGGGGGCCAAAGGTTATCGAGATAAGCACACGGCTGGGCGTACTGTACTGCCGGAATAGTTGCTGCGTTCGTCGGCAAGTGGGGAGGAAGGGAGAGGAGGAGGGGGGGGAACGAGGTGCTCCAGCGACGCCACGCAGAGGGCTGTGCTTCGTCGTGCGGTCTACAAACACGCCCACTTTCGCCACGCGAGGAGACCAAAGACGATGACGACAACAAGAGCATCAGCACCTACGAGGGCACGCGTGCTTCGTCGTGCGATACGGGCCGTGGCGCCGCATCAATGCCACCACGTGCTTTGCGGGAATGTACATGGTTCATGCAAAGCATAGTAGCCGGTCACCTCTTTTTCCCCAAGCATCCCTCCGAAATGTGCCGCCTCTAGCCAAGGCACCGCCTCTGCGTACGTGTCATCCCCGTCCTCGCCCTTGTTCCGCAGCTGCTTGCAACGATGGTGACAGCAAGTCGTGATGGGTGGACAGTTGTTGGGGCAGTACGTCAGTGCGAGAAACGGGCACGATAGATCCGATCCACGCCAGTGGGGAGGACACGGAGCGTGTAAGTTCTACAGAGCTTGATGAAGTGGTCGTGGTGGTTTCACCACTTGCAAGGCAAACACAGCAAGAGAACTCGGTGATAGCAAGAAGACCAGCAAGTGTTCATTTACCGCGACATACACGTGTGCGCCAGCGGGTGCACGACATAAACACGCGCTCAAGGACCCAGGAACCGAAACCAATCCATGACGAATCTGCCTTGTCCACCAAATCCAATAACGAAAAATTCGAGTTGCGAAGAGAACTGCAGCTACCGTGCGCCAAGACAAACACCAGCTGAACGTACAGCAGCTGACGGTGTCGCTCACCAAGTTGATGATCTGCTGAGTCCATGTGGTGCCGGACTTGACGTACGTGCACACGAACACGTCGCTGTCCCGCGTCTCGAAGGTGTCTATCAAATTGTTCAGGCTCTCTTCCTGTAAAATAGCCCGCGCAGTACATTGTAAAGGCCAGTAAGAATACGGGAAGGTAGATAGGGGGGGTTGGGGGGGGGGGGAAGGGGGGGTTACCCATTTCCTAATGCTAGATCCCCCTTGCGCCTACTGCTGTTGCTGCGCGGGGTGATTAGGATTCGCGAAAAGGGTTCGGTAAAGGGTTCGGTAGGTTTCGAATCCATGGTTAGCGAACGCGTACACGGCATTTAGGGAACGTACATGATACTAGACACCAGTCAGTGAGAATCAGAAGGTTTCGGGGATCGGCTGGTGAGAGCACAGCCGAGAGGCAAGAGAAAAGAGAGAGACCGGAAACATTTAGGTCTTTAAAGCAGACGGCAGAACCGCCGAGCAAGCGTATAGTCTTGTTCAGGACTTGCTCGATTTTTTCACCTACACAGTATCACCCCTGTCGTTGAAGGAGGAGGGGACAGTAGTACATAGCCTTCTCAGGGTTTGTCGATCAAGCAAACATGATGGATGAGGCAATCAATCGGGGAAGTTGGGTTAGGGTTAGGGTTAGGGAATACGGTCTGCGTACCCCCTCCCCGTTCTATTTCCTCATAAACTTCTCTCGAAGGCGGTACGGGGGGGACCAAAATGGCCACGTCTGTCACAACTCTACGAACCCAACCTACTACATCACGTGTTTCACCACAAATCCTAAAACCTTGGAGGAGACCGTTTCCCACATTCTCCTCGGAGAGATCGTCTCTCGGAGCGATGTCGATGTCGCCAACGCTCCGGGCCACGTGGAAGTGTGCATCGTTTCGAGGAACCTTAAGACGTCTTCCACGAAGCTTCCTCGGATCACGTTGACCGTGACTTTTGTCCGAGAGGGATGCCCTCTTCACCTCTGTCCCCATCTCATCTAGAGATTCTGCCTCTTTACCGAGGCACCACAGTCTGTCCGGTGGTCGTCCGAAAAATTATATGTACCCACAGGGACGCATATAAGCCATGTACCCACACACCCTTTTTACCGACGGAAATCCTGTGTGAGGAACGAGCGTCACGAACATGTATGCGTTTTCTTGTTTCTTCCACGTTGTCGTTTTACTACAGGGAGGCGCAGTTTTCTGTCCCTCCAAGCAGCAACTTACATGAAACCGGCTAAAATAAATCCCTAACGCTAACCCCAACCCTAACCCCAAAGCGACCCAATAGGTGCTAGGTTGACGTTGGGTGACTCAGTTCTAGGTTGTTGTGCCGGCATTGGGGCTAGGTTGGCATTGGTGCCGGCATTGGTGCTAGGTGTTGACCTGTGTAGGTGCTAGGTTGTGTGGGCCTAGGTCGCTTTTGGTTGGGTGGTTCTGTCGGCAAGAAAAGGTGTGGGTGCATGGCTTATGTGCGTCCCCATGGGTGCATCGAATATTTTTCGGTGACCGTACACACCGCCCCATATCTGTGGCCGTTGCCTGAGTGGAACGCCTGTGAATACAGCGTTGGAGATTCGCATCTCCCTGCGGTGTTCTTGAGTTTAAACCCTTACTGGTGTCAGCCGGCAGTGCTTGCCTGCATCTGAGTTCGAGACACCTCAGTATGTCTGCTCAAGACGAGAATACCGCGGCCGAGGGAGGTCGCGCTGGTGACAACCCTCCGGGCCACCGGTCCGTTAATCACCCCGACGGGGCCCTCATCTCCAGCAATGGCGCCGCAGGCGACAACCCCGCAGGAGACAGCAACGCCGGAGATTGAGTCCGTCGGGGCGATTAACGGACCGTCGGCCCGAATTTCACTGCTGGCTCTATTTGTACAGAATCTTGGGTGTTCGCAACACAGCAGCAGTGCTACGTAGGGCTCTAGCGCGAGAAGATTATGCTCGCGTACACACCGTACATGTACACATCGGTGCATACACCAGCTAGCTTCTTGAAGGAAAGCCCGGCTTTGTTTGCCTGAGGGAATATTGGGCCTGTTGCTTAAGGACGAACCAGGCCCGGCAGGCCCAAGTTGGATTCATGGTCAACGCACTGCCGGCGTGTCACAGGTGTGCCGGCGAAAGCTCTCTGGTGGTGAAGAGCGTGACACAACGTGTGATGGGCGCGACATGTTTTTTGTGACTGCTTAAACGTCTCCAAAACAACAAAAACACAACGACTACTTAGCCCTACCTGCCGCTGCTACGCTCAAAGACGCGTAGCAAATATGATGCACCGCTGTAGCAAGGTTCCGCCGATACACGGGCTGCTGAACGCGATCTACATACAGTAACCGCTGTATAAATAGAGAGAACCAGTGCTACCGTGGATCATCAGTCTCTCCGGACAAAGTGCACGGCAAAAACACACCTTTCTCTCTTTCTCTTTTTGCACACGCGCGAATCCATCACACGACATATCTCTTTCGTCATCGGTGTCAGGCACACACTCACGTCGTGGGCGTCGTTCTGCGGCACACCCCGGCAGACGTTGAGGACGTACTTGACCTCCTCCTTTTCCTTGCGCAGCTCCCACGTCGGCAAGACGACCTTTGCCCGCCCCGCCAACTCTCTGAACGGAGTGGAAGTAGACATGTCTGGTTTCGTGCTCAGCCTTTAGGCACTGCCGTGGATGAACTAAATGGAGAGACGGGGTGCGGGGTGCGGCCAGCAACGGTACAAGCGGTGTGTACTCCAGCTGGAAGCAAGCTGAATTACGTGCAGCGCGTGACCCCAAATCGTGACGCTGGGATGTGGTTCGGGATTTGGTTCAGTCTCGTTTGCTCGTATCTTATCGGGACAACCAGCGGAGCAAACAGATGAGATTGCAGAGAGGGGGCGTCGATTTCTGTACAACTCAATCGAATTCCTGTTTCCCAACTACGATCTGTGGCGAACAACGGGACCCCGCCGCTCTCTCTCTCTCTCTCTCTCTCTCTCTCTCTCTCTCTCTCTCTCTCTCTCTCTCTCCCTCTCTCTCTCTCTCTGTCGTACTTATCGTTCTTGTCTTTCCTAAAAAGACACTCGCCTCACTTGGCTCGGAATGGTGAGGTTCCGAGCGGTGGAAAGTAGCTAAAAGCGGTCAGAGCGAGAGAGAGAGAGAGATACGTATGGACTAAGAACGAGAGCCCTCTACATGTTTCATCCTTATTTCCAACCTCTTTCCTTATCTTCCTTGCGCGGGAAAGGTGTCGTGGTGAGGCCTACCCCTTGTGCGAATGTCTGCCGGTGGTGGCACTCCTCGTGAGGATGTTCGAGACATTTTCAGGTTTCTTCATAAAAAGCAAACGCAATAACTTTCTGAACATGATGATCAAAGTGCGGGCAAAGGCATTCTCGCACGATTGTCCAATCTCTTGGAGCGGGTTCCGTTGCTTGGATCGGGTTTATCGTGTGTGTGCCAGCAGCTGCCTGTTTGTGTACACAGCAAGTTTTCTATCGAACCGCCCGCCGGCGTTTGAGCCCTCGGTCAATAGTCCAAATCTTGTACATCGCACCTTTTTTACTGGTATGTCCAATTTGTGCCGCCTCGGAAAATGCCACCAACCGCACCAGGGCCATCCGAAGAGGAAACCTGGCCGAGGTGAAGCGATTCCTCGACGAAGGTGGGAACGTGGAAACAGTCGGGGGGCGGTTTCACTCCACTCTACTGACTGAGGCCTGCCGCTTCCGCGCCACCAAGGTGATCGACTTGCTTCTCGAGCGGGGCGCCGCCGCCAACGTCTCCGGCGGAGGCTTTTGGACGCCGCTCCACTACGCCTGCAACGGGCCTTGCCGCGGTACCGCCGCAGCTGCTGCGGCGGCTAAGTTAGTTACGACGCTGGTCGCAAACCACGGGGAGGTCGACGCCACGGATTTTTACGGGCGGACTCCGTTGCATCTCGCCTGCTCGAAAGGTTCCGCCGCCGTCGCGCTCGCTCTGTTGGAGGCAGGTAGGCGTAGTAGGTTGTAATCGGTTCCTGTACGGTATGGAAGTAAAAGTACTGCAGTGTGTGGCATCAATTATGATCGATTGACATGAAGTGGCGCTGTTTTTCAGCCAACCCTTCAAGAAATTTCCCTTCCAGCTGGCGACGGATCAATAGCTAGCAAGCTGGACCCCCGTTACAACGTGACGTCAACAACAGGCGCAGCCACAAAGAAAGCAAGCACCAAAACCTGAGCACTCTTCACCACAAGGTAGCCACAGCCACATGAATGATGTAAGCAAATTCGTCGGCGCCAATATCACGACGACGTTTATTTATGGCAGGCGCCGAGCCGAACGTGGGGGATGACGATGGCCGAACACCCGTTCATCACGCAGCCTCGAACGGCCGGCGGGACGTGATCACCGTTTTGCTAGGCTTCGGCGGCGACGTGTCGGTGGTAGATCGAGAGTTGGACACCCCCCTTCATCGAGCTACGCGGGAGAGACAGAGCCTCGCGATGAGTCTGCTGGAGAGCGCCGGGGCTGATCCGGGGGCGAAAAATTGCTGGGGGGAACTTGCGGGCACGCTTGCACCAGACTACAAGATGAACCCGGTGGTTCACGATGGTAATACTCAGTGTTTATTTTTCAATTTTTTCTCCATATCTTGATACAATAATTACAACCAAACACATACCGAGCGCTTGAACCCTCCATGCTATCCGTGTCTCCTTTGTAACATTGACACCGGTTTCATCGAACAGAGGAGCATCAAGACGCAGACACGGGGCCGTGTATAGCTTGCTCAGCCACGAAGGGTCGTCACTACTACTTCTGCAGGAGCGAAATCTTGCAGGAATTGCCGGATAGCATGGTACTCGGCCCGGACGGAAAGCCTAGAGTCGAGGCAGTATGAGGGTTCTGAAACAAAATATAGAATGGATGGACGACAGTCGCGGGCCTTGAACTACCTGCGGCTCTCGTTGTTTCGTACGTAAGTTAGTGTTGGAACCTCACTTACTTGCCATTCGCAGTTTGCCGGTTATGCAACATTTATATATGACCTACATAGATAGCAAGATTTCCTGCAATACGGCCAATGGGGCTGTAGTTAAAGCACTAATTTCCCGCAACATGACCGACGTGTGCCCGACCAGCAAACCGTTCCTGTTTGGAACCACCATCACCACTTGATTTTTCGATCTGTTCTACGCGACATTACTGACTCTGCCGGGCAGCGGGTCTAAGAGTTCGGCAGTACTGTGCGCCCGCACCTGTTTGTGTGTTCAAAAGCTGGTCACTTGCACCTCGTTCTTGTCGGGATATTCTGCTGTGTCCGGGGTTGAGTAGCACGAAATTGTGTCCAACTTGCCAGTGCAGCACATTCTTACGGATACATGTCGTCCGCATGCCATGGTCATGATCGCTTGTAGTATGTATTTCGGCGTATAACCTACAGTACTCACGTACATGAGATCAGATGGCTAGGTCGGCAAACCACACGGCGACTATACACGGGTGTTTTTTCCCAACGGTCTTCTTTGTACTGGAAGCGATTCAGGTGTGCCCACACCAGATCTGAGTGTACACGTGTTCGCGCTGAATGTGACTTCAGGGGAGAAAGCCGAAATACAGCGTGAAGCAGGATGCAGCTGGCCTAGAATCCATCAGTACACCGTCGCGACCAACAGCAAAGAACAGAACAACCTCTACATCAGGCACCGAGGTGGTTTCTTTGCGCCCCCCGCCCAAACGATAGACGCTCGTGCTCCATGCCCCGCCCAACGCAAGAATGAGGCGTTTGGGTTTCAGACAAAGGCTGGTGAGGGTCCACCTTACGATAGATCGGCGGATCGACTCCAAATATTCGCGCATCTTTACTCTCCTCCGTATGTGGTCGTAAGGAGTAATGTCAGACTGTGTGTTGTCTGTGGACCTCCACACAGAAACTCTTGTCAAGTCTGTACCTGAGTAAACCAAACCGGGCGAGTAGAAAATGCAACGCACGTCAAAAAATACCATACAGACAAGGGCCCTCAGTAAGGTGAATAGTGCCGACGCCCGGTATAGTGCCGGTGTTTTGGGCGGGCACAGACTGAATCACCAAGTCATTCAGTTCTGTGAACAGTGCCGGTCGGGTCCCTCTGAATAGTGCCGGTATATGTTGGTTTGGCCCGTACCGGCACTACTGAGCCCCCCCTCACTGTACCTCGAGGTGGGCAGAAAGCGTTGGCGCGCACCAGGACTGCCGTGCGGGCTCAGCTGATTTCTCATGACAGCATCCTTGCGGCGTTGCCGCTTTCGCTCCCCAACAAATTGACCAAAGCATCAACCACGAGTTTTCCGATTTCTCCCTCTCGCTCTCTCTCTCTCTCGAGGCCGAAGGTTTCGCCTACCCTGACTCGCGTGTTTTGCGGTAACTTCATAACTTCCGACTCTCTAGACTGGCACTGCGCGCCCCAGCCTTTCGTGATCATCGCACACACACGTACCTCATACAGCGGCCTCGCCCAAATAGGAGCCCAACTGGATGCTTGCCTCCCCGACTACGACTTACAGGACACAACCGGGACACAACCAGGCGGACACGTGCGCGACAGGTGCACACTTCGCTCACGAACACAAATACTGCGTAAAACCCATCTCTCAACTGTACCCCAAGCACACACACTGCGTCCCACCGTCGCTGTTCCAATCGCTCCGTTCGTTCTCACTCGACTCCCCCTTACCCTGGTATACGCCTCCCCGTCCTAAGCCCCCAAAATTCTGCACGACATAGGAATGCTGGACGCACGCTGTACTATTAATACTACTACTTTTGCTCAAGCAACTAAAAAGCTGACGCCCCCATCAACTCTTTCTGCTCCTGCATGAATATTTCCGTGTACTGGTGTATGATGGTGACGGCCATGATGATGCCCGTCCCCGACCCCACAGCCCCGAAGAGGTCGGCCGCGACCGTTAGCGCCCCGATGCACATGCCCCCAAACGCAGCCGCCGGGGGGATGTAACGGTCCAGCACGTGGTGCAACGCCGTGTCCCGGTGCCCCTTCATGACCATCTGCTGCTCCCGCAACTGCCTCGCCACGTCCTGAATTTGGGGATGGAAAAACAGGAGAAGGGAAGGGCCGGAACGGGAGGCAGGGCTTAAGTTTCGTCGGATGCAATATTGCCTACATCGTCAGCAAGAGACGAAACACACCAATTTTTTCCGAACAAAAACAGAAGCGACACGTTTGACCCAGGCGCAAAAACAAGCGACGTGCTTACATACGTGATGAGCTTGTTTTCGGGCAGAGTGGGGTGGAGGGCAAGGGGTGGAAGGAACACAACGCGCCAACCTTCGGCATCACAACAGAGGGGTTCCATGGACGCATTCGTTTTCAGTTTCGTCCGCCAGAACCCAGCACATGTTGGTCTCTGACAGGATAACGTACAACAGCTGAACGGTGAGAGTGACTGCGAACATCTTGCCATCCTCACCTCCCCTCTGGGACGCGGCAAGTACATGTCGGAAACGGCTCTCAAAAATATGCTCCACCTAGGTTAATTCAGTGCCTGAAGATTTGAAACTATAAACAAAAACATGACGGTCTCCTGCGCCCGCCCCTCCCATCCCCGACCATCCACATGAACCCCTCCTGTTTCCTTGACAGATCCATCCGCGAAGAAGACGTACCAGAGACGCAGACCCAGACACCTCCATCCAGGCCTTCGAAAAAATCGCGCACGACATGAGGACGAAAGTCAGGTAGAAGATGGAGTGGAAGGGGTCCGTGAAGACGTTGGACAGGGTGGCCGGGGGCGTGATGTAGTAGGCGATGCCGCCCACGGGAACGCTCTTCCCCGGGTACCCGTCCATCTCCTCCCACTGGCCCAGCAGTCGAATCTGTGTAAGCGTTGTGACGTTCGCAAAAAAGGGGCGCCAGTATAGCCGAAGAGAAGCCGATTTAACCTTGTGCTTCCTTACCACAAAGTGAAGATCATCGCCAAGACACACACCACGTAGGCACACAAGCAACCCGTGTGTAAGGAGGGACGAGTAATTGCAGGACTGCGTGATGCGCTCGTTGCCTTTGTCGGGTATGAGGCCAACGAAACCATAATTATTTCTCTCTCTCTCTGGTCAACGAAGCTAATTTCTCTCTCTCTCCCTCTCTCTGTCCGTCTGTCTCTCGCCAAAAGCAGGCGGGCAGGCCCGGGGAGCATGCACACACAAACACCAAAATGGGTATCGTCCGTGTCAAAACCATCCCCGCATGCCCGTTAATCGTGGGGACCAATTTCACAAACCTTTACCATGAGACAACAGCAAGCAAATAAGAGTACAACGGTAAAACGTACCAATATGCTGCTGGAGGAGCGGTCGTTGACCAACTGGCTGATCATGTAGAGGTTCGCCACCAGCGCAGACTGCAGGATGAGCGGCATGTTGGACGTGTAGAACAGCTTAATGGGGAACCTCCCTTCCTGGCCCCTGTACTTCTGGGACTTGACCTATTCCCCCCCCCCGGCAAAGAACACGAAAGCAGAGGAAACCAAGCAAGCGGTGATCAGATTACGGTTGCTCTGAATCATTGGCGAGCGGCAAGGAACACGGTTGAGAGTGCGCCATATCGTTGAGCGTGTGGTGTGGTGGAGTGGATCATCCCAGCGGTGCCCAGCTGCGGTGGACAACCTCTTGCGTTCGTATCGCATGATCTCACCGCCCGAACCAGACTCGAGGGGGGGTCGAATACCCCCACAAACTGTCTATGTTTACTTCTCAGCCCTAAATCGCTGCCAACAAATAATACCCATTTTTTCAGGACTGCTGCGTGCATCCCGCGCTTCTCCTCTTGAAATCGAACTGACCAGTCAGAGAGAGAGAGAGCGTCACATCACGTGTCCTCTTGGAAGGCCCAACAGTACCTACGAGAATCGAGGAATCTTCGCGACAGTCCCCGGAAGGCGGCCGCAACTCCCACAACCTGCACGCCTCATGATCATTTTATTCCGCAAGCTAGAAGTTATGAGGCAAGCTACATCCTTCCACCCACCCACCCCACCCCCCGCAACAGGTCCCAATCTGAGAACAAAACGACACCCTATGAAAAGGAAAGGCGAAACAAAGCAAGACAGAGAGACCGTGGACGGGATGACAACCTAACTACCTTACGCTGCTCTCACCACAGAGACACAATTCCGCTGACTAAAGAAAAACCTTTCTAGAAGTACGATCTTTCGAACCCGCTGAGACTGACGTGTTTTGTTCTCGTTCGTTGGCGACCCACCAGCACGGTCCATGTCAGCCAAAAGGCACGCACTCTCTCTCTATCAAACGGAAAATATCACACCACCAAGTGTCTGTCACACCCACCGGCAGTTCTATCCGCCACTTTTGGAAGTAAATAACCGCCATCGCCACAGCCGCAGTGGCCGCCAGGTTCACAAGGTTCGGCAGCCCGGTCCTGAAGAACACATCCTTGAGTGCCCTCAACTGTTGGGGGGGGCGGGAGGAGGAACAGGAACAGCAAGGGGAGGGATGATTCGTTGAGGGGAGGGGGCGGGGGGGAACGGCAGGATCACCCGAAGGCAGGGAGAGAGGAAAGCCTGAATCCAACACTGTTGGCATGCCTCACGGTGTGTCTTGTCCACCGCCAACAGCAGCACAAACATCAACGCGTGGGCCTACAGAAAGTACCTACGACTACGACAAGCAAAACGTGAACGTGGAGGTGAGGTCGTTCCAACGCCTCCGGAACAACCTCGGAACGTGCTCCAACCCCCCACACATACAGCTCCTCATCCCGCGGCGGACCGAACAACACCTTATCGGGCCTCGTGAGGAGGAGGTGGAAGATGGCGAAGAAGGCCCCCTCCTTCTCCACCCCCCTCGCCGTGGTCACCGACACCCAGCTGAACGTCTTCCACCAGACGGTCGAGCAGATATTGGCGCACATGAAGAGCGACACGCCCGAGCCTATCCCCCACCTGCAGGGGGGCGGGGGAGGAGGCAAGTCAGGCATCAACACCGGCAGCGGTGTACGCATCACAAGAAAGGCGCGAGAAAGGTCGCATCGCGATGAAGAAGCATCGGCAGCGGTAGTGGCGGTGGCAGCAGCATCACGGGGAAAAGAGACGCTGGACACACGGACCGGTCTAGAATGCATCGGTGAGTCGCCGTACAGCAGCAGATACAACATAGCCATGGAGCGCGCCCACCAGGGTTTTTAACGACATGTAAGCCGAGATTTAGGAATCAAACCCCCTCGACTCATTCCCGTATGCTAAATATCCTCCTCTTTTCGAAGGCCACTTTCTTTCCTCTCCACACCACAGGGCATACCCCTAGCCACCTCCGCCGCTGCTGCCGCCTTGCGAGCCGATAACAGCCGACACCGGCGTCCATCCACCTCGCTCTCACCCTTTCTGGAGGACCTGGTCCATGAGAATCAGCATCACGCCCATGAGGAACAGCTGGCACACGATGAGGATGGCGTTCCCCGCCCCGAGGGCCGACAGGGGGCCGTACATCCCCGACACCACGAAGGCGACAGCCTCGGCTAGGGTCAGCAGTATGCCGAAGAGCTAGGACAGAGGGGGGGCCGGGGGGGGAGGGAGGGAGAGCACCACGCACGACGATAGCGCGAATTGGAAGGAACGCGCGTAGAATCGAGGGGCTGGGTGAGGGAACGGGGAAGGCGGGGGGGGGGGGGGGAACAGCTAAATCCTTAACCCGGGTGGTCA